ACATACATACATACATACATACATACATACATACATACATACATACATACAGGTGAAACTAATATAAGCGTGTTAAAAACAAATAAAGTAGTACCTGCGCGGCTAAAATTAAATCGCGCCGCGTAGGTCGCGCGTTTATAGACGCGTGCATAGGAATCACACCTTTAGTTTCACCTTAATTTAACAATGAATTATTACAATTATAATCAAGTTTTATAATACGCTCAATTGAGTAGTTTTTTAACACCATATTATTAGTTATTTTAGTTAAAGTAAATCATTAAAATAATTAAGTTCTGAATATTTCAATATTTCAATCTTTTTAAACACCAAAAGTTACTTAGAAATGATTACTATGATTTCTATTTAAGCGATCTATTACGATAGAATTGCAAAAAAATATTGAGCTTTTCTGATATAATGATTGTAAATAGTAATTATAAAATTTCCTGACTGTATATTAATCCTAACAATAATATTATTTTAATTCTCATAAAATTTTCTATTAAATAAATTTCAAAATTTAAGTTGAGCTAAAAGTTATGGTAACAAATTCAGCTTTTTTTTATTATAAACTTAAAAAATCAACTTTAAAGAACCAAAAAAATAGGTTAAAATGTCATTTTGTATGGATTATTTTTAACATATTAATAATCAAAATCAGTAATAATTTAAAAATAATTTTTTTTTTGTTCTTAATTATTTTTTTATATGTAACTTCTCATTTTTTAATAATTAGTAATAATATCAAAACTTAGAAGTGATAGAAATCTAATTTAAGATTTGAAAGCAGTGCGAAAAGTTGATTTAGAAAAGTATATTGTTGATTCCGATGAAAGATCCTTGCAGACTAGTGTATTTATTCATAATTAAAAACAATTTTTTGTATAAAGTATTGCATCAACCTTTTAATTTATTCACATGTTTGTTATAGATGTGACAAAATAAACTACTCTATCAATTTTTATTATTTCTCCGTAAAAATTACAATATTATATTATTAAATATTAATTTCATAATATATTTAATTGCTATAATAAATATTTATTCGTAAATTATACTTTTAAATCTAAGAACTATTAATCAGGATATAATTAAGGCAATAGGAGTTAATATTGCTTTTGTAAACACTATCTACAGATATGCATTGAATCGTTTTTTATGACAGTGATTAAAATCAATGTCGGTTAACATCTATACATGTCCCAACTATACCACGTCCATACTGTGCCGCGATTCAACTTTGCTGCCGTTTTTTTAATTCTGAAACAGTGCAAATAATGCTTGAAGTTTGGAAAATTCTAGCCCAGGCAACTGCTACAAGATTTCTATTCTTATGAGCCGGATCTTTAGGATTCTAAATAACAGATTCCTGTTTAGTTTAAGATTATTGTTCACCAATATTATTTTTAAAAGATTGTAATTTTAATACGTGTACAATCAATGACACTAAATAAACGGGAAAATTAATGTAATCAATAAAATCCAATTTTGAATTTTTTGACGTTCAGCAGTGTTATTGGGAAATTTAATAAATTGAGGACGCAATAGACCGATTTGTGTAGACACTTTTTAAATAAACAGTGGCTTTATGTATGGCAATATGATAATAACATTTGAAATGCACCAGTAGCATAAAGCCGGGTTACCATGACTGGTTTACTTGCCAAATATTCATTTGCTAAGCCATCAAAACAGTATGCTTGTACAATTATGTAGTTAATAATAATTGTAGTTCACTGATGCACACTTGTGTACTTGTCAAGTACTTGGCCAATATTTGATTTTAGGGTGGCTATCGGTAACATAATTTTTATTCCCCGCCCTCCTATATTTATATAGTAAAGAGGGGGTTTAAATAGGCCTAATTAGTTAATTAAATTTAATGAATGTGTAAAACATAGGTATAAAACTATTTTATGGTATAAATTTTATATATAATGAATTCAATTTGTAAATATAATTTAATTGTTAAGGTTGACTATATAATGTATTAATTTATGAATATTACGTATAAAGTAAATATTATTGGATTGTTTAATCTTTTATTAAAATGTTTGTATTTGTAAATTTCTACTTCATTTTTGCAAATAAAAAATTTCATCATCTAATTTAAAAAACTAAATATCCTTTTGATCTTGTTATTAATCATTTATTATTATGAATACTATAAAAAACTTTTTTTTACGTTAAAATAATAAATAGTTTTATACCTTATTTCTATTTTTGTATACAGTTGAGGAATACCTTTATACAATTTAAGCAAAAGTGAAAAGGTCAATTATCATTTCTCTCCTCTTCTAAATAATAATTTATAGATAATTTTAGATACGGTGCGAAACTGAAACGCTATTGGTTTTACTGTGTCGTGTTTTTTCTTTAATTTTTGTGGAAACTATCCCCTACTAATTAGCTCTAATTACTATTGTTGTTGAATACCGAAAACAAGATTAATATAGTTTAGTACTAAAAACTATTTTACAGTAATAGCATTGTTGTGCGGACCCACGTGGTAAAAGGAATTAAACTTAATAAGAAAACGAAAACACTCACTTTTCAATAAAAATTTAGAATATATAATTTGATTGTCACAGTTAATAATACAATACACGTTATTTATTAATATTAATACAAATGAATAGAATAATAAAATAGAATGATATAGAATGAGTGTAACTAGCGCATACTAAACCACGACTGACTGTAGGGTACCTACAGTGGGAGTCCTTTGCCAATGTTTGCCCTAAAACCCTTGGTCAGCACATTCCTGTGTTCGACGATAGTCGGACGACTATGTATTCTATACTCTACTCAATTATAAAATAATATTCAGGGGTTCTTAACAGTATTTTCTATTTTATAAAGTTATACTAGAATTATAAGTTTAAAAACGGGTTTATTTCAAGCATCAATGTTATTGAATATATGTAATTGAATGAAAATGAACTAATCGGCCAATTTTTTTGTTTTTGCAAATCGCTCTTTTTGGAACCCGTTTCATAGAAATTAAATAAAATGATAACTCCTTACGTTTATATTAGTAAGTAATCATAATAAGAATGTAAGTAAAATATGGATATAGGTAGAGTAAATAAATAAAAGGTTTTATTGGAAATGTCACATTATTAATAAAAGTAGATAAATGTAATACTGTTATAAATTGAATACGTTTCACTATCAAAACTCTATTTTTAAGTGGTCGCTTTTCAATTGGTTGGTAAATTTTAGTAAAATATTCGTCTAATTTTTCTAATGAACTAGTTGTAAAAAGCTTTCATTATATTTTTTTGTTTTATTATCTTGAAACCAAGTTCCTAACACGTTCTCGATATCTTGATTGGCCCTCTCTAGAGAACCTTGACTTTGAGAATGAGTATTTTTGTTTTGTTTAAATTCGTACTAATGGATTTTTGATGGCTAATATCGTATGTAATTGTTTTTAAAAATTATTTTCCATTTTTACAACAACCCGTTACTCTACGAACTCACAAACTCTGACTATAAACACGACAACTGGTAATTTGTAGTCTTAACATCACATTACACATATCAATTTCGGCATTGTACTAAATGTTGTGAGAAATAAAATTTGAAAAAGCCATTTTAACTAAAATTTGTGAGCATTCTATACACTGCCCATTTTTTTTCACTTTAACTATAACACTTTAATTTTAACTATATATATAGATTTATAGTTTTAACAAAAAGTTAGCTCGAAAAAAAAATCAATATTAGGTGTGTTATTAATATTTTATAACAATTTTACGTAAGATAAAATCACTTTTTTAATGATATTTTGGTAACAAAAATATTATGGTTATTCAGTTATTGCGTATATTTTAGGTAAATAAAAACACTTGTTTTTATTTACATAAATTTATAATTTTTTATTTATTAACAACATTGTTTGATTTGTTGAAAGGCCATAATATGTAAAATCATATTGATGAGAATGATCGATTATGAATAAGAAGCAAATATT